CTGGGTCCTCCCTTTAACTCGAGAACACCGACGTAATCGCCTTGAGTGGTGCAGACAACGGTCACTCTGGGATCAGGAATGGAACAGTATTGTCTTTCGTGACTAGTCTCGATTTTGTTTAGGCATGCACGATGGTTGTGCCAGGGTTAGAAGGCGACGTGGTGAAAGGAGGAATCCACAGTTTTTTGTTGAAAGACATGTTGGAGTTATGGTTTGGGGTGCTATAGCTTATGGTTCCAGGTCACCTTTAATCTTCATCAGAGGTAACATGAATGCGCAGCGTTATATCCACGAAGTTCTAGAACCCCATCTTTTACCCTATCTTGACACCCTAGCAGATCCAACTTTCCAGCAAGATAATGCCCGACCACATGTTGCAAGAGTCACAATAGACTCCTTTCAACATAATGATGTAACATTGTTACCATGGCCACCAAGATCTCCCGACTTATCCCCAATTGAGCACGTGTGGGATATGATGGGTAGGAGATTGCTCAATTTGCAATGTCCTCCTCAGACTCTAGAAGTACTTCGAGAGGAGTTGGTGGTTGCCCGGAATGAGATACCACAGGACGACATTGACCACCTGATCAGAAGCATGCCTAGGCACGTTGGAGAATGCGTAGCACATCAGGGTGCATCCACACATTATTAAAGGTCAAAGGGGTTTAAAGTTATGAAATTTTTATCATTTACTTATTATGCTTCATTAAGTACTTATACAAAATTTTATTAAAATAAAACCATTTAAAGTGGGTGTTCGGATTTATATGTCACTTAGTATATAACTCTGTTGATATGGCAATAAATTCACATATACAATTCATTGTCAGCTCACTGCGGAAGTTACATTAACATTTGGATATGATTCGTAAACTTCAAAGTCTAAAGCTTATGAAAAACTATGACTAATGCGATTTTTGAAGGGAAATGTCTGATAAGTGTTAAAAGATTAACGACCATTGCTGTAGTTAAAGTTTTATGGGTAATTCTTTCCCGAACGCAAAAAAATGCCCCCACCCTTATCCCTCAATTTTGAGCCATCCAAAACACATTTTGAAAAATGATTAGGGGACTGAAACATACAGAAAAAAGCTTGAGTATTTTTTGTATTTTTTTCTTTGGTTTTAAAAAACTACAAAGCTTTTTCATTCTCCTCTTAGGAGCAATCTTGTGTCTAAAAAAATCCATATGGAGCTGCCAAAGATTTGCAGACAGACTGACAGAAATGAGTAGCATGGATTTTTGCGATTGTGTGTCACGAAATACTAAAAAAAAAAAACATTTCGATTTCGAAGTTTTTGAAGGGTGGGTTATCACCAAATATTCTCTCCCCGTGAGCCAAAGGACTATTAAGACTTACAAGAATCTAGTCATTGTTGAAACTAACCTTCTCTTGTCTAGTATCATTTCCACTCTTGTCCTCACTTGGAGATAATGATCTGTTACAAAGCCATCTATTTGTTTTTCTGTTATTCCAGAATTTCATTACCTGAAATTTGGAATCAATCAAAAAACAATCATTCCTCTCCAGTTGGCGTGGGAAGTAAAAACACAACTTACCCCTTCTTGACTGCTAGCCATTTCGATCTTAAAGAAAGTTACTCGTATTTAACAAGTGGAACAGGCAACAGAAACTCACTGGCTGCAAAATCGTACTCAAAACGTCGAGAATCAAGATACGACTGGATAGATAAGGCGGCGGTCTCCAATTTTCACGTAATACGTCTAGCGTTTGTTTACGTCACGTACAACGTTTGTACGTCGTCGGCAACTTCACGTGGTCACTACAGAACATTACGAACGTTGTTGGCGTCGGTATCAGTCGAGCACGATCTTTTCAACTTGTTTTGTAAAAAATGGACGATGAAACAATTTTAACTCTTCTTTTACTCGAAAAGGAGGATGATGACGATTACTTAATACGAATGTCACTAAAGAAAAAGAGACGAAGAAAGCACGAGTTATTTGTGAAGAGAAACAAAAAAGGTTGTTTTAACTTACTGCTGAACCACTTTTGTAATAACGATACCAAGTTTATAGAATATTTTCGAGTGTCCAAGGCACAATTTACACGTGTGCTGAAACTAATTGAAAACGATATAACCAGACAACCACCAAAAAGATACCGTAATCCCATTTCTGCTGCAGAAAAATTAGGTGTAACAGTAAGGTAAGATATTTAATATTTTTTGTAAGTTTTATTATTTAATTTCATATTATACAACATGTTACAACCAAGTAAAATTCGAATAAGTTGATGGCATCGGAGTCGAAATATACAATGTCTGTGGTGTATTTGATTCATCAGATGTTATCGGCGTTGCAACATAAAGGGTCGATACTGTCATAGCACTCGAATTATCGGATGACACTGGAGCTGCAACATATGGGGTTTGTGATGTACTAAGTTGAATCTCTCTCTCGGTGACCAACTGACAGACTTTTAGTCGAATATCTGCCTGGTCACGTAGTGGAAAAGTTTCCACAACATCAGCCATCGAGTCAAAAAATGTTCGTATTGCTGCTGGCTGTAGTGGAGAATGTTTTTCAAGAATCTTTTTATATACTAGAGATCGTTCGTCTTCTCCTCTTTTATTTAGTAATTCTAGTGTTGAATCATGCCCACTTTTTTTGGGTTTTGGTGTTTGGATATTTTCAGGGCGATGTTGTTCTGCATTATCTTTCTTTTGCATTTGCCTTTGTTTGTTTTCTTGCATGTTCTTATGTGTATCGTCGAATTAATGTTGTATGTCCTCTTGTATTTCATCTTGCGTGACTTCTTGAGCATTGTTTTGCGTGTCATCTTGAATGTTTTCATGCATAGGCGATGATAACTGCTGACACGCTGATTGACTTGTTTTAGTTTCCCTACAAATTGGTATAAATGATACTAAAGTAGACAGGAAAGTTAAAAACTAGATTAAATTGGAATTAGACTAAACAATGTGACCCGAAATATGAAAAAAAATGTTTAGTATATTTTTAACTAGCTGTTCGATAATATTTCGCTCTAACGAAATAAAAAAATTCATACCGTCTATCATGTACACTGTCTGATAAAAATGACATCAGTGTTCCGTATTCCCAACTTGTATCTACTCTTGCTGATCCAGTTCCGTAATCTTTTTTCTTTTTATTTTATTGGTCTCGAAGACTTTTCCAAAGTTTTTTGCATTCTGAAACTAATAAGTTTGTGATATTCATTTCATTTTTTTTTTTAGGTATTTGGCTACTGGAGAAAGCATGCGGTCACTCGCTTTTCAATTTCGAATATCACATAACTACATATTCATAATCATGAGACAGACGTTAAAAACCTTGTGCGAACATCTCGTACCTCTATATTTACCGACTGTTACAGAAGATATTTTAAAAAAAGTTGGCGAAAAGTTTATGTCTACGTGGAATTTTCCTTGTTGCGGTGCTATTGACGGTAAACACTGCCGTATAACGTGTCCTCCCAATTCAGGGTCTCTTTATGTTAATTACAAGAAATTTTTCTCTATTGTTTTGTTAGCTATAGTAGACGCCGACTGTAAATTTTTATGTGTGGATATTGGTTCCTATGGAAAAGAAGGTGATAGTGGTATATTTTTAAAGTCGGTTATGGGAAGACACATTGAAAATGGGACCTTTCCATTCCCTGCTGACTTACAATTGCCTGGCTCAAATATATTTTTATCCCAGTTTTTAGTCGGAGATGGCGGATTTGAGTTGCTTCCCCGTTTAATGAAACCATACCCTTTTACTCAATGCCAAGAAGATGTTGAGAAAAGGCAATTTAATTATCGCCTGAGCAGAGCTCGCAGAATCGTCGAAAGTGGATTTGGCATTTTGGCAAACACATTTAGAGTTTTTCATACACCTATACATATGGAACCCGATACCATAGATAATCTGATTATGGCATCCAGTTGTCTACATAATATGTTGATATCAGATAAAAATACTGGAAACATTCATAATTTGCAAGACAGTAAAGAAATGCCTACCGAAAATATGCGACGTACGGGTGCGTACAGCAGTTGCCCGTCGCGTTCGGCGTACAATAAAGCGGCATTTACATTTACGAGTACTCGGATCCGAGTTTCGCTTCTCGGACTAAATTTCGGAAATGTAAACGGTTACTCGGAGCTCGTAGCGACTTCGATCCGAGCCCGGATCGAAGTAGAATACAATCCGACTTGTTGTACAAGAGCACCTGTTTCTCGATAATATAAAATGGCGGAACTAAAGTTTTTCAGCGAGTAAATGGAACAATTTATTGATCTTTATAGATCATTTGAGTGTTTATGGAACATTAAATGTACAGATTATAGAGACATCAACAAAAGGAACAACGCGTATGAAGCTATTGCCGATATTATGAATATTTCAATAGAAAACGTGAAGAAGAAAATACATTCGATCGACGTATTTGCAGGAAAAGAAAAAAGTTGAGTTATCAAAAAGTACAGGTATGTAAAAATAATATTGTAGTTCAGTACTATTATACAGTTTTCGTGATTTTAATTAATTTAAAGGTTTTAAACATAGGCTATGTTTATATCATTGTATATATATATTATATCACTGTATATTAAAAAGATATTTTGTTTATAGGATCGGGCGCAGAGGATATTTATATTCCAAGCTTATTTTGGTTTAGTAGTATGGCCTTTTTGGATGACGTTACAACATCAAGGAAAACAGTGTGTACTCCAACTACAAAACAATATGTAAGTATTAAAACAACTGATTCTTTGAATTTTCAGTAGTATATTAGTGAAAATGGAATAACATTCTATATAAAATTAACATATTCCTAAATGTATTTCCACTGAAAATCAGTCTGTCCCTCATTATAAAAATACTCTGCAAATTCATCATGCTACGTCACTTGTATTGTTACTTCCTTGATGGGGTATACTCTTCATTATTGACCTAATATCCTCATTTTCAGTATTGATTGCAGTAATTTTACAATGTTTTTTTAAAAAATTATGCAAGACACATGCACATAAGACAATTTTGTCAATATTTTCGACTTTTAAACAAATTGGTTTCGTAAATTCGCGAAAGCGTGATGCTAAGATTCCAAATGCGTTTCCCACTACTCAACGAGCACGACAAAGTCGATAATTGAAAACTTTTTGTTTTGCACTAAGAAACTTGCTCCTAGGAAACGGTATAAGCAAATTTTTTGAAAGAGCAAACGCGTCGTCTCCTAAAATAACATAAGGTACGGGTTTGACGCAATTTGGAAGGTGCTCATCAGATGATATATTTAACAGGTCTTCATATAGTTCTCTATATAAGGTAGAATTTTTGAATATACCTCCATCCGACATGCGTCCATTGCACCCAACATCTATAAATAAAAAATTACATTCTGCATCTGCCAAAGCTAAAAGGACGATACTATGTGTGCCTTTATAATTAAAGTAATAAGATCCTGCGTTTGGGGGAGCTTCTATTTCAATATGTTTTCCGTCTATAGCACCAATAGCATTGGGAAAGTTCCATTTGTTTCTAAATTCGTCGGCAATTTTTTTCCAGTCATCTTCAGTGCAAGGTACCTAAAAAATATTCTTTTTTAACTTGCAGGTCAAAAAATCAACAAATAAAGAATGTGATAATACTATTACACCTATTACACAAGGAACGTCACGCAGTACTAATCCTCCTCGCAACAAAAAAGTTCGTAGACAGGAAATGGATTCTGAAAGAGGTTTTGAAGATTCCGTGAGTAGTTTGAGCGTGATATGTAAGGAGGAATCAACAGAATTTGACAAGTTTGGGGAGAGCATAGCAGCGCAGCTAAAACAATTTCCTTTGGAAGATGCAGTAAAACTGCAATTAGAAATTCAGCAGCTTATAACGCAAACCAGATTACGAGTAATTAACCGCCATAAAACTTCGCCAGTTTCGATAAATACTTGCAACCCAGGATTAACTGCATGTATGACATCTCCATTTTCCCCAGATGACTATAATATTCCCACACCATCTTCTGTTAATTCTTATCACTCAGAATCATATAGTGAATGTTCTAACATAAATAAAAGAACTAATGAATCAAATACCATTTTTCTAGCAATGCGTGGTGCTCAGATTATTGGCCAGTCTAGTGAAGACACAGATATTTAATATTTTTGTAGAAACCTTAATAAAATTACTACTAACAAAAGAAGTTTTTAAATATTATTATAAGAATTTAATTTTGTACATACCTTCATATATTCTGGCTGCAAGTGTGAGTAGACAGCTTGACATACATGAGGGACAAGTAAACTAATTGTAGAAGCTGATACTCTTGTTAAGTATTCTAAGGACCTGTAGCTATCTCCAGTTGCAAGGAAGCTTAATGTTATTGCAAGACGTAACTCAGAACTTATAGAACTTCGCTGGTAAGTATCTTGTTTTTCGATGTCTAAACGAACCTTAAAATTAATTTAAAAATAATCATTAAAAGCTATTTTATAACAAAGTACTAGACTTACCTTGTCATGTAACATCATAAACGTGTCATAATCCATGCGCATAAAGTTTTTAAAATCGTTTCCGTCTTGTGCTAGTAAATCAGTGAGCAAAGTTTTCTCAATACCCACTCTGTGACGCTCTTGCAAATGTGGTTTCACCCAGATGCTTCTATTCTGTGTAACCTTTTTCTTTTCTCTTCTTTTTTTTTAGAATATTTAATAATATTAACGCGACAGCAGCTCGTTTATTCTTGGAGGGAGCCATTTTTAAAATTTCCAAACTATACGAGCTGCTCATACAAATCTACACATTCACAATTCTACTCGTAGTGTTTATCCGAGTTGCTCGGATCCGAGTACTCGTAAATGTAAATGCCGCTTAAGAGACCGCATCCATTATTTATTATATTTAGCATACAAACGCGACGTATGGCGTAACGCTGTACGCGGCCTACGGCGTTTATTGGAGAGCACCGCCTAATGTTGTATACGTATAGACGCGACACGCAGCCTTGCCAATGATTTTTAGAAGAGGAACCAAAATAATCTACGGGATGAAGGCAAAGCTCCAGTGAGCATATTTAGCCTCCGCGTAGCGGAATTTCTGTGAAGTAAAGTCTTATTTTTTTGGTTACAAGAGTAGTAATGAATTGCATCCACACATTATTTAATTGCGGCCATCTCGTGCCAGGTATCATAGAACAAAAACTCAACACAGATTCTGCTGGAGAATCGCGTAGGAATCTGTAAAGGTTGAAGCATCTCTGGTCTTCTAGAGTGGCAGAAATCGTGTTAACTATTTTGAGTCCGATATATGGTATCAATATAGTCATGGAGTCAAAATTTAATGTGCCGTGCATGTTTATGGAAGCAAATGATTGACCTGGATGTATATATATATATATATATACGTCTTGGTATCAAAGTCAGACCAATAAGTGTTCCATACAAACCCGCTACATCATGAAATACTGGTTGCATCTCCATTTGCGATGTATATAAAGGTTCAAATAGGGTATGTCTTAACGAATTCCAGCCTTATACAGAATAATTTCTCGCACAGTAAAATTTTTGGCGCGAAATCAAAACCTAGTATATATACAAGTTAAATTACTGCTACCGAAATACTTGTTTTTAAAAAACTTTATTTCGATTAACGGTACAAAACGACTTTTGTGAAACCTTGTAACGACGATGCGTAAAACAGGACGGTTAGACAAGAAGTGACAAGATTTCCTCACACATGGATTTAGTACAATGTAGCAGAAATATAATATGCTGATACAGAGGATTCCATAGCGTAGCGACAATGCTAGCAAGAAATACAAGTACCAGGTAATAATAATTATTATAGTTATTATAATATTATATAAAATACAGGGTGATGATGGATATAACTTACATATGCTTCACGCATTCCTGAACCGCTGGTCCTCTATATCCTACCTGAGCCAAATCCCAGGCGGCTTCCTAGTTGAACAAACGAACCTGATCCATGCAACGTTGCCAAGCGCTACTAGAATCCTTGGCAGTACTGAACTGTCAATTACGGTGGACCAGATCAGTTCATCGCGTAAGTAGGCAACATCATATCATTAATTTGCATGGATGAGTAGTAAGAAATTCCTTGTCGGAACAGGCTGACAGAGAAATACACGTGCTTTCAGTTATGATTAGCAAAAACCAAGGGACATCCTTTCTCAAGCAGATACGTTGGGCAACCACATATTTTACCTTGTTTTGGAGCCTTTACCACGAAATAGTTGATATTAAATTGTTTCAAAATTTAGAATAAGGTATACATTTGCATCGGATCATCACGCATCATGCATTACACTAGATAATTTATATCATTTATAAAAGCATATACCTTATGGCGGGTGATAATCGCATTTGACATAGAAACAAAGTTAATATTTTTTGGGTTTCTCTCGGGCATAATAGTAATGATGAAATAATTATGTTGCTGTCTGACCGCTAATCCTTGACTTATCTAGTACAGAAGTACTAGTCGGATTTTGAGGAAATTTTTACACAAGGTAATTCTGCTGCCAAGATGGGTTTTAAAAATCGGTCCAGTAGCAACGAAGTTATCGTCAAAAAGAGTCAAAAACTGAAATCGCTCGGAATTCGTTTCCTGACTTTTGAGAGACTTCGCATTCTCACGCTAAAATAGGAGCAAAGGCTAATAGACAGGCAGTAGGCAGAAAGATCAGAAGTCGTCATGATAAAATATATCTATTTAATTTGGAAAGCTTGCAATATTATTTTTTCGAGAGCACGTATTACAAGAAACGGATAGGGTAGAAGCATACTTAAACATATAATTAAGTCTTTCACTTTTGGTGACTACACTATACAGATGAGTCTTGCAGAAATGTCAAGGAGCGTACGACTATAGCATTCTGCAATGAAAACTATTAGAGCATGTACCTATAGCGCCTTAGGGCGTTTGTCCACCGCCGCCGTTACCGGACCGTCACCGAGAACGAGATTATTTCGGGCTGAGTTTAATATGACGTAACGGCGATCGTTTGTCCACCGCGACCGATTTCGCTGGTTTAGTTTGTTCCACCTGTCATGCGTGGTAGTCGCGTTTTCGAAGACATAAAGTGATGGCTAGGTTAAACCGGCGACAACTTCTTCTACTGCTTTTGTACCTTCGAAGGCGCAGGCGATGCAAAGAATTTTGGGTTCATCCGCCACGCCAAGTTGCGGCAGCATGACAAGAAATTTTTTAACTACTATAGGATGTCCACGACTACGTTCGATTATATCCTATATCATATTAAGGATAGCATCACACTCCAAAACACGAACTACAGGACATGCATACCACCAACTGAAATGTTAGCTGTAACGTTGAGGTACGTAGTAAAATACTACTCCATCACCGCAACTAGAAGACGCATGAAGTGTTGGGAAGGTCTGTACAGTTGGTAATGTCAGTCAGCGTCACTAAATGCGTCTTCTACTTGCGGCGATGTGTAGGAAGTCATACTTTTTATATTTTAATACTTATATTTATTTGAATAATAGTATGAACTTATGAATGACAGGTAGTCACCTTATATGATAGTATGAGTACCAGGGTCAAATTTTATAAAGCAACAAGTTACAATTCTACAGGCAAATTGACATTAATGACGCAGTCTCGAACAATCACGAATGCGAATTCCCTCAATGTTGCCAGTAATTTACCTGTAGCCTGTAACGTGTAGTTTTCTAAAATAGGGCCCAGGTAGTTAGATTAAACTTACACACCTAATTTTTAGGAAAATCTTGGGAAAATAATCCACTAATAGATTGTATTTGTTGCTGAGGTGTGAACAGCTGGGTTTCATGCTAGGGTGAAGTCAGTTGGTGGAAGTTACCATGATCGCTAGGTGTAGCGAAACGATTGCGGTTTTTAAATCTACGAAGCAATTGCATAACTTCGATTCTAAAGTCAAACCTATCCTCGTCATTCAATTGTTTGACGGATGGAAGGAGAGATATCATAAATGCACGGTCATCGTCAATTAATTCAGATTCCGATTCAGCGGAATTGGCCAGTATAGCTTTTAATATTTCTGCATCGACCGCATTTAGCCTTTTCGTTCCCCTTCGATTCGTGGTAGATGTGGATGTGGATGGGGAAGGTATTGATTGGTCTAGGTTACTATGTGATGTTTGTTGGCTTTCGGGAAGACTTTCAGAATCATTTTGAGTTGGTATGCTTGAATCAGTTTCGTCGGGTGTTACAGTCTTGAGTAGAAATTGTAGGTTATCACTGTAAATGTACTTTTTTTTGCGGCTTGTCCTTACTTAGTCTTAAGGGACTTTATAAATGTGTCTCGAATATTACTCCACTTGTTCATGACAGCACTTGCTGAAACAATAAAATTAAACAATTAACTTTTATTACAGATACCTCGCAAGTGGAAATACCTTCACCGATATGTCATATACCTTCCAACTGGTATCAAAACTATAAGCAGAACAGTGACACAAGTGTGTCACCAAATATGGACTATTTTAAGTGGTGAACACTTGGCTGCGCCTACTACTGAGCGATGGTTATTAATAGCGGAAGGATTTAAACGAAGAGCTAATTTCCCAAACTGCATCGGTTGTGTCTATGGAAAACACATACGGATTGAAAAATTTCCGGAATCTAGCACTATGAACTTTAATTATAAGGGATATTTCTCAATTGTACTTCTGGCAGTAGTTGATTCAGATTACAGATTCGTATATGTTGATATCGGTTCATACGGTAAAGACTGCGACTCCGCAATTTTTCAACGTACAAACTTCTATCAACTACTCACTGAAGGCAGATTGAGTATACCTACACCTGTTCCACTGCACTCATCTCAAAATAACAGCATGCCACATGTTATACTAGGCGATGAAGCTTTCCAGCTCACTGAACATTTATTACGTCCTTTTGGCGGTAACCATTTAGATGTGAAAAAACGTATTTATAACTATAGACATTGTCGTGCACGAAGATACGTTGAATGTGCATTTGGCATTATGGCCAATAAATGGCGAATATTTCATCGCCCTCTAAATGTAAACAAAAAACTTAGCAAAAGTATAGTTAAGGCATGTGTCGTTTTGCATAATATTGTACGTGAAAAAGATGGCTACAGAGGTGAGGATATGTTCATGTCTTTTATGCAAATTACGGCACTGCTATGATGATGATCTAATATGTAGAGTTGCTTAGGTTTGCACTTTTCGATTCCTTTGTTCTAGCGTAGGTTATAAGTAAGAGATGCATGTAAATCAAGGTGACCAGTACTCATTCGTCTTCTGTTAAATAAAGTCGCTTTTTTAAAAGGTTGTTCGTTGTTTGCACATTCTTAATTGGCGCTGCGAACAGGATATCGGCGTGCCGAATCGATAATCGGCGGTATTGATTCACGAGTATCGCTCAATCGAGACCGAAAAAGTGCAAAAATCGTCCGGTGTGTTCGGGTACGATTTCGATCGTTTTGACGTCGATCACAAAGAACTTGGAAGGCTACACCGAGCAAGCACATCACCATCGACGTACCAGGCCAAAATACTTGCTAAGTATTTTGGGAGCAGGCAACGACACTTGAGAAAACGACAGGAACTGACAGGAGCGAGGTGCTGGATCCACGGCAGGCTGTTAACCAGGAGGAGCTGTATTGGCCCATGGAGGTATCTCAGATCTCTCCAAATGAAGCTGCTAGTGCCCAGTGTAGCGAATTAAGAATGTGCAAACAACGAACGACTTTTTAAGAAAGCGACTTTATTTAACAGAAGACGAATGAGTACTGGTCACCTTGGTTTACATGCATCTCTTACTTATAACCTACGCTAGAACAAATGAATCGAAAAGTGCAAACCTAAGCAACTCTACATATTAGATCATCATCATAGCAGTGCCGTAATTCCTCCCTCTTCAAGAAGATTGAACCTCCCGGTTCAAAGGAAAAATCTGGTTAAGTTCAATGTCATTTTTGACTAGTTGATTTTTTTGTTCTTTTTGCTTCAAAAGAGAGAGCAATTGTTTTTTTAAACAAAGTATAATTACAATAAATGTTAAAATACATAAAATAGTTATAATGCTAAACGTGGACGTTTTGTGTGAAAAATCTAAATTTTTTAATTTATCTAGTAATAAAACATTATTCAATTGTATATCCGAATAACCCTTTACATCAGTATTTTCAAATAACATATTCGTATCATAGTTCACCATAATGTTAGGTATGTATAAAGGTTTCGAAATATCAGAAATCTTCAAATACTCAGTATGATCAATAAATGTTTTACAGTTTAAGCTGATAATAGAAGAGGAATCAATTTCTTTTCTTTCTTTGGTACAATCTTCATATACTGGAATATTCTTGTTAGTATTCACTAAATAGTTATCATGTTTTAATTGAATTACTTCTGAAAATGAACCTTTTGCCAAGAATGTACAATTTTCAACTTTAAGTAAGTTACAACTGGAATGGATTAGTATAGTACAGTAAAAATATTTATTACTCAATAATTTGCATTCATCACAAAAATGTATAGTTTCATTTTCGATAATATTTTTATGTTTCAATACCAGAATATTATTTTGGTGTATAATGGGGTATATATTGGAATATATAAAGTTACCAGTAACTGTTGGTATGTGAGGAATAAATATGATTTCTTCTTCGAGGACTATAATACTTAATTCACATAATTCGAAAAATTCAAAATTGTGCAGTTTATCGAGTGGGAGAAGTTCATTTTTGTCAAATAGATCACGAATGGATATAACTAATTTCAGTCTTACTCAGCTGTAAGAGATTTATGCCCTGATTTGTGCTCAGGTTAATGGTTAACAGTAAGTGTGATAAATAATTAGAAAATCTTTGAATAATTATTATCTCATTCAAGACATACTGAGAATTAGCGTATTCGCTATGCAATTTGTTGAGGTTATCAAAATTATCTCTCAAATTTTTCTTTATAATTAAAGTGTTATTTTCAAACCTGTCTTGTAATTGTTTTGCTACAGAGACGGTTCGGGAATTTTGTAATGATAAATTATCTTGATTCTCCTTCAGAATTTTCATATTTTCCATTATTTCATCTAGATCAGATTGATCTAAATTGCCTGAAATATATTCTATGACGGAACCAAGACCATTAAATACGGCGACGGCAGTGTGTGGACAAGTTCATACGTGTTTTGTATTGCCGGCACATCGGCCCGTCAAAATCTCGGGCGACGATCTAGCGGTCACGCCGATCTACTCGCAATTTCGGCGGCCGGGATGACGGCGCTCGGGTGATGGATGTGCGGTGGACACGCGGCTAAGTAATGTAATGTAAATGTATGTACCGCTACTTCGGCGCCGCCATCTAGTTCTCGGTGACGTGACGGTGACGGCGGCGGTGGACAAACGCCGTTACTTTGCAGCTACAGCATTTTTATTGGTTTTTTGAAACAAGCAAGCTCAGAAAAAGCGACATCAAAACAAAAGACTGTCACTGAGTAACTGCAGGTTGACGTTAGATCTCCGTTTTTTTAGTCTAATGGTAAGACCGGTCATGGTTTACGACTGAAATCAGTGCTGAAAGAAAAATTATTGTATCATGCGTTATACTAGATAATGAATATCATCTTTAACACGTTCGCGGACACTGACGGCATATCACGTCAATGAACTGTTTTCTAGCGGGGCACTGAGAAATGTTGAGGTGTGCTCAAAATGTCACGTTGATAAATTATTTCATATCAAACATAGAAAAATGAATCAAATAGCATTCAAACAGGAATTTTTCACACATGCAGATATGATGGAAAAAAATCATGCGGTATATGACGTCATGTCCCCCTACGCACCCATTTCACTCACATGGGATACTTGACGGCATATGCCGCATGCGAATAGCTGCTTGTTTAACTCATTTAAATTACCTGTTTTCTATTGAAGTCATGAACAATAACCAGAGCAGTACAGAAACAAATTTTATTATGAAGTATAGTATGTGTACAAACACAAAATAAATACATATTCCTTAAATTTTATTCATTGTCAAACAGCAAAATAAATACTTAGGTGTTTTCAATATAAGCGATCAAGCTTTATGCCAAACCTGAAAACAGTCTCCAACACAAAGAGATGGTTTTCTTATACAATCACGGCATTGCCATGCAGTCTACTTCCTCCTTTGTTCTAGGTAGCACTGTTTACAGCGTTTATTTATAAATCTTTTTTTACCTTTTTTGGTTTCTGGCACAGGTATAGCCTTCAAAACGTGGCCCAAATTTTCTCTACTTTTTTTGGATGTATAGACTTTGTTTTTTTCATCAAGTTGACAAATTCCCTTCCAGCTCTCTGATCCGGAGAGATCCCAAGTAAGGATTTTATTAAATCATTTCGGAACTCTTTGAACGTCTTGTTATCTTTCTGGCTATGATTATATAAATAATGGGAATTCCAGACAGCTATATCAAGAAGATGAAATATAACCTTTTTGTGCCACCTGATTGTTTTTCTAGGACATGAATAATAGATAATCATTTGATCTGCACGATTAATACCTGACATATTGTCATTATAGCAACTGACCATTAATGGCTTGGTTTTTTTATGACCATACCTGTTGGCAGTTTCAACCAATTCAGGCTTATAGACCGTCGTGATGGATAAGACATCACGTTTGTCGCGCCATTTGGAAACATACACATTTCCCTTTCTTCTCCAAATATGCTGCCCGGATTTCAACTTGGCTCCAGTAACCTCTTTGGGATTACCTTTTCTATTGGAGCGTAATGTCCCCGTCCTGTGAGTTTTCCTTTGCAATAGGATTTCCGATAACTGGACACTGTTATACCTAAAAGTTATCCATGTATATATGGTGGCCTTTATCTAGAAATGGCTCCAGAAGCCTAAGAACTAAAGAATTTATTTTAGAACTGCCCCTGACATCTTCTCTATTAGATTTACCTTTATAAATTTCTATATTTAGGGCATATCCGTCATTGGAACACAGCTCATAGAACTTAATCCCATATTTACTTTTTTTATTTTTTATGTAAACCCGAAACCGTAATCGGCCTCGGAAAAGTAACAGTGATTCATCTAGAGATAAGGCTTCTGGCGAAGAAAACATATTTTGGCTTGACTTAATGATAGATTTCACAAGCCAACTAACTTTATAGAGATTATCCTCCTTATTTTCATCATCTGCACAATTCAAGCACCTCAGAATCTGTTCAAATCGTCTACCTGACATAGTAGCTGGGAATACCGGTTGATAATTGAGAGGATCCATTGAAAACATGTCCCTAATAGACTTGAACTTCAACTGGCCAGCAAGGAGACACAAACCGAGAAAACCTTTCATTTCTTTTACGGAAATATGTTGAAATGTCTTGAATCGCTCGTTTCTGGACTTAGGCCTATTGCCCACAAATAATAATTCACCATATTTATTTGACTTTTGAACAATGTAATTAGTCACATCAACAGTCCAAATTTTTTCAAAAATCTCAATTGGAGGCTTGCCTGCTAGCTGTTCTTTCACACCAACTGATATGGAATCAAAGGAAAACTCTAAACAATCGATTATTTTATCTTCCCATTTTTGTTCATCGTTGTCTGGATCTAATAGAACATCGATATCATCAGAGCCCTCGCTATCGACATGTCCTGATGGCAAATCAACTTTTGATTTAGGTTCTTTCCGTTTACGCTTTTTTCGTGATGTTCCAGATAAAATTTACAAACAAACGTAACTAAAGTGTATGGGAAAAATGCGCATCAACTTACGCTCATCATTGTTTGGAATATTCTCGTATTCTGAATCAGTACAAGAGTCTGAGTCCTGTTGCATATATTCTGGATCAGCAATGGAGTCATCTGTACTATATGGATCATGTCTGCTTTCATCTTCGCTCTCACACTCTTCATACCAGCGCATCCACTGCTCTCTATATTTATCGTCCATTTTGCTGTAGCTCGAATGCATACATCTGCTCTCGATAACGAACAGACTCATACTGCCAACACGTATACGTATGACTACCGATGTCCGAAGATGTACCTCTCCCCCTCTTAAAAAAAATCTACTACACTTATTATTTGGATAGTAGGTGTCCAGCGGGACACCAAACCTCCTAATATACGCAGAATTGACGTGATGTACAGCAAAATGAAGTTAGAGCACTATATGTAGTTGACGGCAAGTGCCGTCACTGTCCCAATAGGCACACTGACTAGTGCGGCTTATAGCGTCAGCGCCTCATTAGGCACACACTAGCCACATAGAGTGTCCGCGAACGTGTTAAGAGCATATACCTTAGGGCGGGTAATCGGGGCATTTGCCACGGCAATAAAATTAACCTTTTTTTTTGTTTTTGTTTCAATCGGGCATAAAAACTACTACTCAAGGTATGTCGCACTGTCTGTCCGCTAATCCTCGATCCCTCTATAACAGAAGTAGTGGTCGGATTTTGTTAAAATTTCTAGACAAGGTGATTACGCTGCCAAGAAAAACCATGCGTTTCGAAAATCGGTCTAGTGGCGGCGAGGTTATCGCCAAAAATATCGAGAGATAGAAAGGCTTCGTTTTCTAACGTCTCAGAGATTCGTCATTCTCATCATTGGAAATTTTGAAACGGGATAAGTTTACCGCCTATTAGACATATTTCATGCACCATGAATATCCTCGAGTTGAGTTAGGATCTTTAAATTCGGAGTAATGGGACAGAGCATGAATATATGTTGACATAAAAGAGACAGTTGATTTTTTTAATATGGCGGCTATGTTGTATTAATCTTCTTTTTTTGGGAGAACCTATCCAAACAGGTTATAAAATATGAAACATTTCATTTTTAGGTCAGCGGCAGCCAAGGTATCTTCAAACACGGCAAAAAACAATTGAACTTTATTTTCCAGGCTACTGATTACACTCTATTTTTAGGAGCGATAAAAATTGTGGGTGGTTATATATGTATAATTAATTTTTTGACATTGGTAATATATGACATTGCTCATATATCAAACGTAATTTCAGAATGAGTGAAATTGGGGTTGGCTGTTGTGGGATTGGGTATATCCTAATGTCAAACCGCAATAAAAGCGCGAAGATTATGGAGTCAATCTACTTGATATGTCTTATGACCATTCTATCGCCAAAGCACCTAGATGATTATCTTAAATGTTCTGGATAACAATATTTCTTGAAATGTATTAGTAGATGATGGGTTACCTTGGACGCCCCCCACCACTTCCACTTTGGCCACGCCCACCGCGTGCTCTGATTGTCGGATCAGACGGCGGGAAATTTGGACGGGGTTGATGGTATATGTTGATTGGCGGGCCCCGCTAGATGGCGCACCCAACCGGAAGTGATTCAGACAGCCGACGATAGTAAGGTGTAGTATACAGGGGGAGCCAAGAATGTTTTATATAGGGTGAGTCAAAAGGTAGGCTATCGCGTGTGTGCGCGCGTGCGCATGCACATGTGCATGGGGCTCGTTCTGGTTGGTGCTGGCGCGGGCGTACTACGGGGGTGTAGATAGCGTATTGAACGGGGTTGATGGTATATGTTGATTGGCGGGCCCCGTTAGATGGCGCACCCGACCGGAAGTGAGTAGGAGATGATGGGTTACCTTGGACGCCCCCCACCACTTCCACTTTGGCCACGCCCACCGCGTGCTCTGATTGTCGGATCAGACGGCGGGAAATTTGAACGGGGTTGATGGTATATGTTGATTGGCGGGCCCCGCTAGATGGCGCACCCAACCGGAAGTGATTCAGACAGCCGACGATAGTAAGGTGTAGTATACAGGGGGAGCCAAGAATGTTTTATATAGGGTGAGTCAAAAGGTAGGCTATCGCGTGTGTGCGCGCGTGCGCATGCACATGTGCATGGGGCTCGTTCTGGTTGGTGCTAGCGCGGGCGTACTACGGGGGTGTAGATAGCGTATTGAACGGGGTTGATGGTATATGTTGATTGGCGGGCCCCGTTAGATGGCGCACCCGACCGGAAGTGATTCAGACAGCCGACGATAGTAAGGTGTAGTATAACGTCTATGCGTAAGTGATGTAGCTCATTTCATGTTTTGCGGTAAATATTTGCATATAGATCGATAAAAGCCGATGAATAATGGTAATTATAGATGCAATTCTGCGGATTCAGTTTAAATGGAAAAACGTATACAATTCGCGGGGGCAATGGGTGTAGGATGATCTCAATAGTTAACACGGCATATTCAGTGCGCATATAAAAATGGAATTGCTCACATGTGGTGCATACAGTTATTGTTAGTTAATTTTTAACATTGATACAATATTGAAAACATAGTACAGTCTATATTGTGTATCTAATAAATTCCAACAAGGCAATCACCTACGTCGCAAATGAGGTTAGGTTCAGCGCAGGTGTTGTCGTAGCGGTGATATGCAAGAAGTACCGGGCGGGGGTGTCAAGCATGGGTGAATGGGCAGGGAGCGCAGGCTGTCAACCAGTTATACCGGCCAGCGGTGACCTTGGAACACTGTGGTCAGTTAAAAAGTGGTGGGGGTAAAATCGAGATTATAAATACCCATGAATCACCGAAAATTATCTAGTCAGTTATCTGCAGCGAACAGACGTGCTCAGTTCAGATTTAGTCGCTAGTTAACGTTTTAGTTTTTTTTTTTTAAAAATGGATAAATTCTTCATCGTTAAGGATTCTACTAAGAAGATTAAAAAATCTAATCTATATGGGCGAGAAGTGGAATTTAAAATACGACCTATCCCTAAAGACGTCGAACCTGTGGGATGGATCAAAGACGCTCTGGAGGAAATAGTAGCTAAAGGAACTGAATATCTTCATCCCAGTGATCAAGTTGGATTCACTTTCTGTTCCAAAGACTTTACCCGCGGTCAAGGATGGATAGCTTTTAAATCGTTTTCCGACGTTTCAACTGAGGACATATGGGAGAAGATATCTTCCATCTATCAGTCAAATTCTGCGGGGATGAATACCGAGACTTTTTGCCTGGGGGTTACGTCCGTAAGGATGCCTGCTGGTCGTGGTAGAGGTCAAAATTACAATACTTTTTATTGAAGGTCAGAAAGGCGCCGGGAAGGGACGGCATCAACAACAGGATGCTGAAGAACCTTCCCACCAAAGGCATTGCTGCGCTCACCAACATCGCCAATGCCACCCTGAGACTTAACCACTTCCCGCGGCGGTGGCGGGAAGCCCAGGTTATAATGCTCACCAAGCCAGGCAAGGACCGGAAGTTGCCCCAGAACTACCGGCCCATCAGCCTGGTTTCCTCGATGGGCAAAGTAGTCGAAAAGGCTATCGCCGTTCGACTAGAGAAGCAGGCAGAAGAACTGCAACTTCTCCCCCCAGAGCAATTCGGCTTCAGATCCTCGCACAACACGGAACTCCAAGCGCTACGACTGACAGAAAACATCACCAGCGGCTTCAATCTACAGGAGGCAACCGGTCTCGTCCTGCTGGACGTGGAACGAGCCTTCGACAGAGTTTGGCACGATGGACTCATCGCCAAAATGGAAGCCGCCGGAATCGATGCGAACATGTGCCAACTGATCCAGAGCTATCTAACACAAAGATGGTTCACGGTGAAGATTGGTACATGCCATTCAACAAGACGACAGCTGGAAGCAGGCGTGCCCCAGGGGTCAGCCTTAGCCCCCCTGCTCTACAACATCTATACTTACGATGTGCCGAAGACAGCTGACACAATGCTGGCCCTATATGCAGACGACACTGCTATAGCCGCCAAGCATAGACGACCCGAGATCATCCGTAGGAGGCTACAGGATGAACTGGACCAAATTCAGGACTGGTGCGTGAAATGGAAAATCCGCATCAACGTCCAGAAGACGCAGGCAATCTTCATTCAACGAAGAAGGATTGCAAGACCTCTCGAAGCATCCATCTTCGATGAAGATATCCAGTGGAGCGACAATGTCAAATATCTGGGGATCGTTTTTGACAAGTCCCTCACCTGGAAAGCGCACATAGAAGCTGTCATCGCAAAAACCAGAGCAGCCATGGCTCAACTCTATCCATTACTGGGTAGACACAGCCAGATGCCGCTAGCGACCAAGCTACGGCTGATCAAGGCCATCGCCAGACCTCAGCTCGCTTACGCCTCCGCGGTCTGGGGGTACGCTGCCCCCAGCTACCGCAAGCGACTTGCTGCTCTAGAGATGAAACTACTCCGGATCGCCACCAATGCACCTTCCTACGTAAGGAACTCAACCTTGCGTAGAGACCTGCATTGGGATACCATCCACGAGTACATGAGGAAAAAAGCGGAGAAGACCTTCGAGAAAGCTCAGGACCACCCGAACGAGCAGCTACGATTCCTCATGGACTACGATCCGGACGAGAGGCCTCGCAACCGCAGAACCAGGTACCCCAGACCAAGGTCCCAGTTGGCACCCGCTAACTGGAACCTTGACTAGGAGACTAGGAGAACATGGCCTACCGAGACGCTGATGAGTCGGGCCACGCGGAGGTTTAGGGTTTAGTGGGTATTAGGTGATCTCCTCAAGACCCTGGAGCCCCACACACGTCGTAGCTCGTGCTATGGTATGGTGCGTAAATGCATTCCCCCCTCGTTAAAAAAAAAAAAAAAAAAAAAAAAAATTATCTAGTCAGTTATCTGCAGCGAACAGACGTGCTCAGTTCAGATTTAGTCGCTAGTTAACGTTTTAGTTTTTTTTTAAAAAAATGGAAAAATTCTTCATCGTTAAGGATTCTACTAAGAAGATTAAAAAATATAATCTATATGGGCGAGAAGTGGAATTTAAAATACGACCTATCCCTAAAGACGTCGAACCTGTGGGATGGATCAAAGACGCTCTGGAGGAAATAGTAGCTAAAGGAACTGAATATCTTCATCCCAGTGATCAAGTTGGATTCACTTTCTGTTCCAAAGACTTTACCCGCGGTCAAGGATGGATAGCTTTTAAATCGTTTTCCGACGTTTCAACTGAGGACATATGGGAGAAGATATCTTCCATCTATCAGTCAAATTCTGCGGGGATGAATACCGAGACATTTTGCCTGAGGGTTACGTCCGTAAGGATGCCTGCTGGTCGTGGTAGAGGTCAAAATTACAATACTTTTTATGAGGAATGCGCCAAAAGAAAAGGCATTATCACCGTTAAAAACACCGATAATTTGTGTCTCCCACGAGCCCTTGGCATCGGCATGGCCCGTTTGAACAAAGACAAAGACTATAGCAGAATCCGCCTCGATCGAGGAAAAATACAAGGACAAAGAGCTGTACAACTTGTGGAAAAGGCTGATATTGTTATCCCTGAGGAGGGGTGTGGAATACCTGAACTTCAAAAGCTACAACGATATCTGCAAAACTACAAAATTGTTGTATACAAGTTTGGGTGCAAAGGTCGTGACGTCATTTTTGAAGGCGTGTCCACTGGTCCGATGCTTAACCTAATCTACTATGAGGGGCACTACAACGTCATAACATCCCTCACTGCTGCCTTTTGCTGCATCTATTTTTGTGAGAACTGCCACATTCCGTATAATAATAAACAAATTCATAGATGTGATAAACAATGTTATGCTTGTAAAACATCCCCGGCCTGCCTGAAAACGGAACACATCGAATGCAAGGAATGTAATAGAAGCTTTTATGGACAAGAATGTTTTAACGCTCATTTACCATCGATCTGTTCTAAAATTAAAAGATGTGTAGACTGTTTTAAAGTTCACAACGGTAATGATCACATCTGCGGACATATACTTTGTAAATCATGTCATAAAAATCAGCCAATTGGACATATGTGCTATATACAGCCTGACAAAAGTATTCCTAAATCGGATGATGTTTTATTAATATTTTACGACTTGGAAACCCGTCAGGAGAAGGAATTACCCAATGGATCTTTACTTCATGAGCCAAATCTATGTGTATTCAAACAATGTTGTGAATCATGTACCGATAATCCTATATGCAAGAAATGTGGCCTTCGATTACAGATTCTTCGATGTCACGACGTCATTTCTCCATTTATGCATCATATTCTGACACTTCGTAAAAAATTCAAGAAAGTTATTGTACTGGCGCATAATGGTGGAGGATTTGATCATCAGTTTCTACTTCGTTACATTTTAGAGAAGACTAGTCTGTACCCGAATGTAATTATGAATGAGAGGAACAAAATTAATATTGATGGAGGTAGGAAATGTAAAATTTCTGGATTCTCTCAATTATTTCCCTATGCCTCTGACTGCTCTACCCAAGGCGTTTGATTTGAAAGAGCTAAAGAAAGGATACTTTCCACATTTATTCAACACTTTGGCTCATCAGAATTATGTAGGGCCAATTCCAGCGCTCGAGTTCTACGATCCCGACCATTTTAAGGAAGATGCTCGGGAAAAATTATTAAAATGGCATAGCGAAAGACAAGCGGAGCGATACGTTTTTGATTTTCAGAAAGAGATCGTTGAATACTGTATCTCCTCGTTCTGCTGGTGCTGGCCCTCACCACAAACGCTATCTACACCCCCCGTAGTACGCCAGCCAGAACGGGCCCCATGCGCATGCGCACGCGCGCGCTACTAAGGGGGATGGTGACAAAAAGGCGTTGAAAAACGGCGTTTTTTTGTACTTTGGTCTAGAGTGACTGGTCTAGAATGACTTTTGGTCTAGAGAGACTGGTCTAGAACGTACTTTGGTCCAGAACGTTTTCAGGTCACCGCTGTTATCGTTGGCCAGTATTAACTCGTTGACAGCCCCGCGCGCAGTACTTCTTGCATATCACCGCTGCGACAACACCTGCGCTGAACGAGTATCTATCTAACCTCATTTGCGACGTAGGTGATTACCAACGCATCCGACCCGCCGTCCACCATTCAACTATACCATCAACACCGTTCAAATTTCCCGCCGTCTGATCCACCAGTCAGAGCACTCAGGTCCCAAAAACTTCTGTCTGACCGACCTGTATGGCGGAGCGAGCAATGGGGTAGCACCATTTTAGGACACGTCTTGCTATATACGACAAGGTCCGTGTCTCCCACGAACAGTTCTACACACACCTCCCATGTGAATGGAGCTTATTTCGGTCTGACGATATACTGTCGTACATCGGCCCGTCGATAGGGTCCCCAAAAATTTCTATCGACCCTGTATGTGGGTCACTCTACGACACCAGTGCGACATCGACAGCATCTAGCGCTTAGAGACACAACTCACACTTATCAATGATATACATAACGTTTGACAGATGACGTTTGTATGTAGCGCTATCTACCGACGAGAACCACAGACTATCAGGTGATCGATAACCTGTAGGGTATTTCATTGCAGGCTACTGCAAGATGGCATATCTCAGGTATTTTACGAAAATTGAAGTTAAAATATTAATCACTTTCTATTTATCATTACACCTAAAACATGTAAATGTATGCTTAAAATTACAGCACTACGGTCGGTGTTGCATTCAGTATACTTTCTGCCTTAGAAATACTATGAATTTTTCTTCCAAGAATCGCCCTCGAATTATATCTGTTTTATTATCTTGCGTAAGACTTGCTATACATACCTAAATTGGGTTACAGAAACATTTCTGCTTCATCCCACATTCCCAGTTTATCGTAGTATTTAACTATTTTTAAAAAGTAAATGTCATAAATATTAATACTAATATAAACGTGACACTTTTTTCAACAGTTCATATTCAAACGAGGAAATTTGTGGTTTAGTATTCACGAAGGAAAGATCAACTGCCAAAAATATTGCACCATGTACTGAAAGATTTGAGTGAACATGTACCAGAGTTCAGACATATAAAGCCGGATTTCGTTGTGGGATATAACGGAAACTCTTTTAATAGCACCGTATAATCACTTCTGATTCATAAGAAGAACAGGCAAGTACTTGATCGTTTTTAGAAACAAGGAGATTAACATTTTAGTGGCGCCAAATGTAAGAGAAGAAGGTGTAGATATACCAACTTGTACTATGGCTGTCAGGTAATTTTATTCACTAGTTTCTCATTGATTCGCTTGAATAAATCAAGATATGCTAGAGGAAAGCTCGTTACCGATAAATTGCATATAATCATTAGCTCAAGTATTCTAGCAAGATCTTTGCAAATCAATTAAAATTAAGTCGTTGTCCGTAGGCTCTAGGGTACGAACGCAGCATCGGTTTCGACCGAATTTGACCAAAAATGCCCCTTCGACGACACATTTGGTCGTCGGCTCATGAACCCAACGGGCAAAGGTTTGGAAAAAATCTGGTCGCGTACCAAGCGGACATAAACATGGTCAGCATATGAAAAATACTTTTTCCTCAACAATTAAATAATTACATGGCTTCTACAATATCTGATTGTTACTTTCTACCATATTCTATCCGTAATTTCTACAAGAATATTAAGTGACTCTACTTTGTTGCATTTTGTTTTTTTTTTTTGATAGCGCCATAGTCTAACCTTTTACATGCACAAAAATAGAGGACCCACTGGTAAATTGTCCAGACGGCTGACTTTGATTTTTTAATTGTATAATTTTTAAAATATCTGCATTTTAATAGTACATATGTTTTATTATCGACTTTGTAGATTAATGTATGGTCTTATCGTGAAACTGCTTTTTGCAGTAGCCATTATTTCCGTTATAACGGTGGGAAGGAAATATGTGTTTTCATATCCCAACGAATGTCAAAGGAAACAGTATTATCGGATACCAGCGCTGATAGATGTTATGTCTTTTCAGTATGTGTTTTTTTTTCTGTAGCCTTCGGTTGTCTCTGGTGCTGTTTCGAAGTTCTACGAGGTTATCGTGCTTCTCAATTTTTTCGGTGCTCATAAAAATAGTATAGTTATTATCGAAAATAGAGTTTTTATTTCTACTTTTCGTAATAACCATTTTATTCTTTACTTAGTGATACGAAGTTCTACATGGTTATCATGCTTCTCAATTTTTCGTGCCCGTGCAGTACAGTGTTGGTACCCGTGCAGTGCAGTGCCCAACACGTTAAATAGTAAAATGATTATTATTGCAAAAATAGGAATTCAAAACTCTATTTTATTAGTAATAATCGATTACTTTTACGTACCTCCCTCTCTATACTGCTTATGAATCTGCTGTATTTTTTACTTTTCAAGGTATGTTTTTTTGTGATTATACAAAGTTCTACATGGTTATACTGCTTCTCAATTTTTTTGGTGTATATTACTGCAGGCGTTTAATAATAACAATGCATACTTTAAAATATTTTCATATGGAGTAAAAAGGCTGAACAATTTCGCGTGCAAAAATATTTTTCAATTAGGCGGGAAATAAAAAAACAAAAAATCATTTGCATACATTTTATTTTACATGTTTATTAAAAAATATTTACAAACATTAACAAATCAATATTTTATTTTCTTAAATCCAAATGGTGCAGAGGTATGATCATCATAGAATTTCCTTTTCATTGAAGTTATCTTGTATACCTTAGGAAACTCGACTGTTACTACTGCATGCTCTCTTGTACGTCGTAGCTGTCGAGAAAGTACAGGAACAGGATCAGATTTCTTCAGCACCATGTCTTTTATTTTCTCAAAATTGACCACTTGGGATGCCTTGTAGTTGAGTGATATGCCTTTTACTTTACATACGATCTGTTCCTCTCCAGACAAAGTAGTATATTTGTAGGCGTAGTTCTTAGGTCCTCCAGAAACAAACTCTGATATGAAACCCCCATTGAGCTCATCGGTCATATCACCTATGAAGTCGCCTGTAGATATGTCGTCTAATCCCTTACGATAGATATAAATACATGAATCTGTATCTACGTAAACTGCCCTTTCTTCCACTTTCTCCAAGAATGAATATAATTTTAGTCTAGCTAGGGCCGTGACATATGAAGTCAATACAACGTTAACCGTTGAAGAAACGTCATAGGCCTCTTCTCTAAATTCCCAAGTTACGAGAAGGGTTTCTTCGTTTACCGGGAGAACTGTATTTACATGAATAGAAGGATTAGTCAGCATATCAAAGAATTCACCACAGTCT